ATTTTGTTCAATGGACTGCCAAAAGGTTGTTCAAGAAAACTCATATATTGACTGCAGAGCTTCCCAGAAGTCAGGGTATCCAGATGGAGGAGCATGTGCAAGATGAGGATACACATAAACGTTCTGATGCCTATGTGCTGAATGTCTTTTTTTTTTTTTTTCCCCCCTTCCTCGAAGTAACGGCTTGCCAGTATAAACGCATGTATCTTCTGAAAAGTAAACGTCAGAAATATCGGCGTACTCGCATATTGCTCCATCTAATGCCAAAGATGTCATAGGTAGGAAAGTACCTCCTGTGGTAATTCAGAGGTAGGTACTATAGGAACTGCTCTCAGCTCCTATGAGTTGGAATTACCCTGTCTGGTGGAAATTTAACCTAGATCTGTCACTCATAAGTTACTACTCTAATCTGTAGGCTATAATATTCGGTCTTCTGAAGGACAGTGATGGTTGCACGGTGGACTTAGTGCATGGACTTCATGCAGTAGTTCTTCTAATTACACTGAAGTACTGACTCCTGGATATCTGAAAACACGTAGGAAGCTTTCCAATTCAAAGGGTTCTTGCCAACATAATTAACTGCTTTCAGAACTAGGTGGTCCTGGGTGGATGACATTTTTTTCACCCCTTATGAATTTTTTTGAGTGCTTAAGACACTTAGCATTCAAATAACTTTTAGACACACCCATTAAAAGTGATAAAGTTAGTGCTATCATTTGCATGGGTGGAGATATCACTGAATATCTTGGAAATGGGAAGTGGGACTATATTTTATACAAATGCTCTTCATTCACTTCCATGTATTTCCATGCTGACATAAATTTCTTAATTGTTTAAAGACAGTTTTCTCCTAGCTTTAGTTCTGTCAGTGTTAGACAAAAATAACTAAGTAAATCACTGGAAGTGTGAAGTAATTATTTTACTCTTATGATTCTGGACACTCTTTTCATTTTCTCTTTGGATCTTATTACAAATACTTGTTAAGATGTAAGTACAAACATTAAGTTCACAACTTACCAACCAATGTTTTCTGTAGCAGAGGTTCACACACAGTAAAACTGCTTGCAGACACTGTGTGAGGAGGCAATGAGAGATGTTTCTAGCCTAGAAATAAAAAGTAATTTTGGAAGGCTTGGCTTTGAGTGAATTCTGTTCCACACTGTCAGCTAACTTTGCTGCAGCTGTGTCTTATTTGTAGTTAATTGGATGGTGTGATCAAGAAACTGAGAGAAAAGTTTTCATGGTTAACTTGATCTTAATGAAAAAAAATTATAATGAAGAATCTGTTCATCTGTGTGGTTATTCTCTCTCCTTGTGCTCAATTATTTTTGCTTTTAATTATTTCTATTCATTTTCGATGATTTCTTCTCAGTTATGATTATAACTATTTTCAGTATGAACTAGATATTTGGGAATATCCAGACTTTCCAGTGTTTTGTTTATTTAGTAGTATGGCTTTCCTCTTGCTACTTTTTCACTTCAGGAGTTTGCTGACGGTTGAGTAATTGTGTATCTTTGATAGCATATGTGAAAAGCTACAAGCACTCATTCTTCAGCCTTTGTCAATGCTCAAAAGTGTATGAATTACAGTATCACTGAACAACCAAAATGAAAATGTTGTTGATTTACAGTTAAAAACTTCAGCGCTCCAGATTGTTAGCTAGGTCTGCAAAATGCTTTAAATTAAATTATGAATTGTGGTATATAAGCAATAATAAAAATCATATTCAGAATGATCAAAAGTGTGTAATATAAGTGTTTCATTTGAATTATCCTTGCTGGTCTGATCATTATTTTTCCCCTTTTCTAAAAGCAACTGAAATATTTAGCCTATTTATGAGATTTCAGAACATGAAAACAATTGGAATAACTCTCATTTTTGTGCCTAAAATAGAGCAAGGCCCTTTAGTATACAGATGCCTCCTGTCTACTATATATCTCTATTTTAATGTTAGAAGATGATGTCTGATTAAATTCTGTGGCCAGCTTTGAAAGTACCATTTTAGCTTGGAAGTAATTTTATATGGAAATGTTATGACTGCTGTGTGGGTAAGTCTCACTTATGCTTAGTTAAGTGTAAAACTGGAATCTCTGTTTATGACGCTGTTGTTTAAGCTTTCCTTTTATTCTGCCCATGATTTAATTCAGTTTATTCAAGTTTTGCTCAAACAGCAGGTTTGGTCAATAGTAAATAACACAAAAATAGCCTAGCTCTTTGATCTGTACAATCTAGCCCTTTGATCTATACAGCCCTTACACACAGTGTGCCTACAGGCATGTATAATATAAATATTTTCTAAGTACAAATAATGAAAAGATTTTGGATAATAGGTGTGTTGAAACTAGGAGTATTTTTCAGATTTTCTGTTGCTGTTGGATGACGTAGGACAAATAAACAAAAAACCCTCAAGTCATCTCTAAATTTGCAGAGGATTTGTTTTTGAGAGCAATTACAAAAATAACTATGTTTTTAAATCATGTTATTTCCATAAGCCAAAAGGTGTTGTGTTCTTATTGTTTTGCATAATTATAAAATTTGTAGTGATTTTAAATTTCATGATCAAAAAGTATGAAAACTGGCCAGACGCATGAGAGCTCTGATTGTATTTAGAATATGCTCTGTTTTCATGTTAGTCAGTTGACCAGGCAAAAAAATAAAAAAATAATCCAATGAATGAGTTTTGTTGCTCTTCTGGTTTTTAGAGTGTCAGGTCAAATTCTGTCTTACGACACTGATGCAAGTCAGATAACAAATTCCATCTTCCTTTACTACTTTGTTTTGAGGAAGAAAATAAAGAAATCAGTGATTTCTGGCCTGAACTTTATTTCCAAAGACCGCATAAGAGAAACTTTCCTGATGCTCAGCGAGTGTAATTGTTAGTGACTATTTAACTTTGAAGATAAATCTGTTTTACATTGAAATTTCATATAGCCAGTTCATTTTTGGAGCTAGCTGTCATAAACTTCTTGTCTTTCTTAAAATAATCTTGTTTCAAAAATTGCAGTGGGAAAGTAGTTTCTGAACTGAGATCACCTTCAATTTTTTCTCTGATTCTGTGGTTTCTGTGAAGAGAAGATGTTTTCTTGACCACTTAAAGCTAGTCTCGCTAAGACTCAAGCTTTTACACAGTAATTTTGCAAGAAGATCTCCAAGGTCTTTTCAGAGACACCCTATCGCTGCAAGATGCAAACACAGAGCAGAGTTATCAACACAGTGAGCTTGGCCAAATTACTAAAGAGGAGGAATATTAGCGGAGCCAGGCCCTGATGTTCCAGGTCTCACTGTCCTTTCATCAGAAAGCCCGGAATAGGCGCAGAGTCTGTGACCGCTTCATAGCATCTCCTGAGAGCTTGGATGGTTTATCTGTGTATAACTGCAAAGCTTTGTATTATGTATTATATAGTGGTTTTGCAAGATTATCTAACTTCACATGACTTCTAATATATTCTCGTAGTGATTATTTGTACAAATATAACCAGCATATCTGCTGTTTCGCTGCATGGGTAGTAGCAGTCCCAGGGCTTCAGAGCTGAACTGAATCAGAAAGTTGGCCTACCTGAAGGTAAGGGTAGGAGAATAGAGACAGCAGCTGACTCTCTGGTAGGGCTGGTGCAGCCATCTCACCAGTACCAGTGTGGGAGAGAAGAAGACAAGAAGACCAACCATATTTTCTGGAAGCAACCCACACTGAAGTTTTGCCTACATGAGTCAGGAAGGCATAATCTAATAAAACAAATGTCAGGTTTTACTTGAGACATCAGATGTATGTAAGATTTAAGAGATAGGACAGAGATTTCCTTATCATTTAACAGCTCTGCATAAGTTGCCCTTAAAGTTCCCTCATGTTCTCATTGCTCTGAAGTGATCATAATCTTCAAGCTTCCTCAGCCCCTGCAGGTTACTCTAATGATACTTGATCTTTTAAGTTTGTAATTTTCTCTCTGCTTTCCTGGAGAGCTTCAACCACGCTGTTTAATTTGCTTTGGTTTTAAACTGAGGAGTGATGTTCCATGTGAAGGGCAGGCTGATGATAGTGGGTCTTCTACCTGGCCCAGAGAGAAGATGGGCCAGAGGTGTATCGTGGTTCATGCAGAAGCAAATGCTGGTCCCGGTCTTGCCCTTGCGGAGGCCTGAGAAGCCTGCACAGGCAAATTCCCTACTTGCAGTAAATGTACACCATCATCACTTCTTGCTTGACAGTTTCAGTCAGCTGGCACTGACTGTAGCTTCATAGCCTGAGGCAACTTTTGATTATCCATAACTTAGATGCTTTAACATTCTGGAAATACAGATCTACGGCTTAAACTTGGCACAGGGCTCTGTGGAAAGCCAGGAAGGCAAAAGGAACAGCAGAAGGCAAAGAAGTTCAGGAGATGTAGCCAAGGAGATACCCAGGTGCATCACAGCTAGTTCTAGTTATCTTGTGTTCTGGCTGAATCTCACAAGCCTGTGAGCATTGCATTGCTCTTCCTAATAGGATTTGGGAGGGAAGGTAGTGCCAAAGCCAAGCTGCTGTTCCCGATAGGCCAGGGCATGTCACCTATCGTTTTGCTGCTTGAGATCTTGGTGTTTGGGCAGAGTTCACCTGTGGTTTTGCCTACAGTTTAAGTATGCAAATGTAATGGCTGTGATTATAAACTTTAACCTTTTATTTTGATGTGATCTGTTATTATTTTTTTCCTTATCATCCATTATCACATTAGAGGCACAGGTTTATCACATACCTTAACTAGATGAAAGACCAGGATTCCCTGCAAGCAATCTGATGGCTTAATATCAGGTTTTCCATTATTACCCTAAAGGCACTTTGCCAGAATTGATCAGTTAAGTGCATTTGCATGGACCCTTGCATTACTATCGTACTATGAGTACTTGCTCATGAAAACTGATAAGTATTGTTGCATCTAGACTTCATCTAGGAAAATAATGACTACAGTCTTTTTATTTAACGTTTGGAGATTGTTCATTTTTTTTCTTTGTTTCTTTTTACTGAATACAGACTTGGATTATCACTTGCTTTTGTCTTCAACTACTCCTACTTAATCCTCTTGTCAAAGCCCAGAGTTCCTGCGGGAATCCAGTGACAGATGATGTAAATGATATTGCAAAATTGGTAAGTAATAGTTATTTTAAGTTATTCTTCATATTTTACAATAATTGTGGGATAATGCTGCTTACATTTTTAAGGAAAGTTAATAAATCATGGTTAGAATCAGGGGAGTACTTAAAAAAATATATATCCATTAACACCATCAATTTTTCAAAACAAAATCCTTCATTGCAGAGAATGGAGAATAGTTTCAGAGTTCATTGAAAAGATGACTTCTTTGACCAAGTTGAAGCAGATAGATGTATGTGTTTTTTGGACTCGATACTTCCATAAGAACTGTCAAAAATCTTGATTTCTTCAAACATCCCTGGGAACAGGTAGTTTCCTATGCAGATGAAAGATTGCTGTCTTTATGTTGCTGATATGTGAGGAGCAGAATGGTGGCAAATTATACTAAAATAAACCAGAAGTCTGGTCTATCTTAGGTTTATGAAAAACTTGTGTCACACATAAAAAATATTATATTAGATATCTTTGTAGCAATCTGGCCATAATGATTGAACTACTCTTGCAACCTTAGTGGTGAATGGACTACACAGAATATTCTGTATTTCTGTCTGTACTTTTCCATACCTAGAATCTAAAGAACTGCCAGCTTCTTGTGACAAGCAAACTAATTTAAGTACATTTTGAATGTAACTTAAACAATGCATTCACCAGAAAAACTGCATCTTCTTATATGAAGTCAGTTGTGTTTAGCTCCACTGAAGGCATGGATTAAGCTGACTTAAAGTATTGCATGTTCTAACACAAAAGTTTTTAAGAAATAATGTGCAATGAACACTTAAAAAGCATAGCTGCATTTACATATTGTCTTCAGTTAAAAATTATGGTTTTGTTGTGAAGAAACTGTTGCAAGACTGGAGTTTATGCCATCAGACACTACATTTAGAGTCCCTTGCATTTGTTTCCAGTGGTGTTCCTAACTTGTTTTCTTTGAGTGTCGTTATATGCCTTGGCACATAGTGCAAATCTCTAGGGATCTTCCACAGCCCTTGTCAAATGTTTAGTGTTTCACAGTAGTTCCTTTAGGCATAAGTCTGAAGTATTGGCATGTTTATTCAAAATATTTCATCTCTTGAAAGAGCATTAAACTTTGATTCAAAACTGTTGAAAACACTACAGAACAACAAAACTCCTCTGAGTGCTGATGAAATTGTCTGGGACATGATTGGCAATAGCTTTGTGTCAATTATGTATCTCCAGAACACATGCTTTAACTTTCTCTTTAGAGCAATTTAAACTTGAAGAATGTAAAAATACAGACAAAAGAATTTGCATGCAGCTTGAGTAATCACACTTGCTTTTTGAGATAAAATATATCATAAACATAATACCACAAAAATCAAGTAATTTTTTGTTTTGACTGTGGTTTCCCCGTATAATATTCCTCCTGTCTCATCCAGTAGCTGCAATTCTTGCACATATCCGTGCAGCACTCTGATTCCTTATCCAGTCCTCCTCCATGTCCCCTTACCTCTCTTCGCATGCATCCTTGTTGCTAGTTGTCCCGTGACACCTGAGCATGATGCAGACCTGAGCAATGTACTATGCTGCTGCCACGTTTATATCACGTCACCTTCTACTTGGGCTAGGAAGGAATTCACCTAGTTTTGGTGTGTGTGCACTACATGTCCTGGAAGAAAACTCCTGATGGCTGCCCAGCTCACACTGCTGTTTTGCTGCTGCTAAGACTGAGCAGAATGTGATAGGGCTGAGCTCCTGGGCCTCTCCATGGTGAGGATGCTGAATTGTCCTTCTCCTGACTTACTTGTATAACAGATCTTCCCCACTGAATGCAAAATTTGGGTAAAACTTAAATAATAGGTTCAAAGGGGTTTTGGGTGGGAGAAGTAACAGACAGATGCAGAGAATGAAAAACAGACACCTATTTTTTTGTTTGTTTTGTTTTGAACTGTGTGTTTGAGAATGTCTTTCTTGAGGAACTTCTGTTTCTGTTATGTCTGTGTATGTTAATGTTAGCACAGATTTATCATTTAGAAATCATTTCTATAAAGCTTGAGCTGAAAGAATAATGTCAAAATAATTATAGTATCTTAAATTTATTAGAAGACTTCTTGATTATAATAAAAATAATTAATTTACGAGTTGATTATTCTCTTTTGGAAATGCTACACCATGACAAGGTGACACTGAGAGAAAATAAAAAGAAAGGAATTTATAAAAGTTAAAAGAATACATAAAATACTTTTAAAACAAAATACATTACATGGCAGCTTCATAATAGAAAGCAGAAACTAACAGAGTGCCGATTAGCCACATTACTTGGCTGAAAACCACACTGTTATTCCTAATGCTATTAAAACTATATTTGGTATAAATTTGCTTTGAAATTTCTGATATAAAATCATTGTTGTGTCATGCAAGTTTTATCACTAAAAGCAACAATTTGCACCTGAATTCCTAGGTGGTATTTTTCTCCCACCTCACCACCTTCCAATTCCATTAGTCTCTGGAAAATATCTACAGAAACCACTGTGAGTATGCTGTGGAGAAGTTCCTGAATTACTTTTAGAAAATGCTAGTTGAGTTGCTGACTTGGCTTTCTCAACAGAGATGCTTACACTTGGTACAAGTAAGCTTATATTTTCTTCTAGTACCTGGACCAGACTCACAGATAACAGTAACATTTTTGCATTTTTACGTTATGTTATGTTATGTTATTTTATTTTATTTTATGTTATTTTATTTTATTTTATTTTATTTTATTTTATTTTATTTTATTTTATTTTATTTTTTTTATTTTACTATGTAAGCCTATTTGGATTAATGAAAAGAAAATACTGCTTTCAGAATGGATGGGTAGCAATATTTTTTGAAACATGATTCTAAGGACTATTTGTTTTACATTTATGCTTTTTTTTAATGCTATATGGAATATATTTTAGTGTATACAATAAGGAGTCCACAATTCCAAATTTATGATTGCTGAAGAATTTAAGTCAGGCAGAGATTATGACTCCTGTAAATTACTATAATTATTTTATGCCACTTCTGTATTTTGAAAACAACAACAACAACAAAAACATTGAATTGGGAAATGTTATTCTGAAGGTTTAGATCTTCAAAATAAGGGATAACCTCCAGAGTTGTCTGGGTTCTTTATTGGTCTTCCTGAGTCTTATTTCTTCACTGATCCAAAAAGTCTGTGCCAGTGTCTTACATAATTAAATAAACTGTAGGATTTCCCAGAGTGAGCTGCAGATTTCACAGGAGCTAAAGGTATATGTACAGTTATTACCCTTAGTTATTGTGATGTTGTTATACAAAGGCTTTTAAGTAGATCTATCACACTTGCTGTGAGTGATATGGCAGGCATTTCTAAAGACTTCATTCTTTGCTGCACCAAAATGTTCTTTAGACTCTCTTGTTTACAGTCATTTGTCTAGTTCAGTATTTGTGCAATTTACTGTTCAGAAGCAATGCACAAATCTCACCTTTTACCTTAGGATATTGCCCTTTCTTCCTTCTCTCATCACAAATACTCAAACATCAACTTAGATTCAATATAGCCTGAATACTTGACACAGCAGGGTTAGGAGTTCTTCATTTCCCCAGAATGTTATCATTTCCTGGGCCTTTCTCTTCAGAATTTAGGAATATCACAGTTTCTCTCCAGGAATTCAGCTCTATAGCAAGGGTGTTGGCTCTTGTTGCTAGTTGTGTTGGCTGTTACCATTTCACAAACACTTATTAAGTTCACTTTTAATACCTTCATTTTTTTTTTCCCTGTCCTAACAGAAATAAATGTTTTTGTAGCTCTCTATCCATATAAATTCACCTTTCCCTAAGATCATTTGTGAATTAAGATCCAGTCTACTCGAAAAGTCTTTTTAAACTTCAGCCTCTAATTTTTTTTTCCTTCTGTCTGTTCGTTTTGCTGCTCTGACCATATATCTTCTACTTAATTCCTTCAAGCTGTTCTTCTTTTGTTTGATTACAACAGCAAGCTTCTTAATTTTGTCTTTAAAAGCTCTATTAATACAGCTTTTGAACATCCTAGCACATTTTGGCTTTGCCCTCTTGTCATAGCATCTTCTCAATATTTGCTTGCTTTCTGTTAAGCTGTTCAAGGCTGTGGGAAGGGTACTCCTTGATGAGCTCTAGGCAGATTCTCATCCTCTTGGTATCTCATACTAAAACTATTTGCAGCATAAACCCATGTCCTTTTTTTTTTATCTTCCTTCTCTGTTCTGGATTACTTCTGCATTTTCCCCACCGTTAGCAAAATGGTGCCACAGTTCCCTACCAAACTGTATTGCCTGCAGCTTGATCCAACCTGTTTATTTGGTTCTCAGCTTTTTGCTATAATTACTGTAGACTTTGTGAGGCTGGGCTTGACTCCATGAAAGAGCATATGGAGTCCAACAGAAGGTGGCTTTATCCTGAAGGAATATTAACCTAATATAAATGTATAGTAGTGATTTAGGTAACAAAAGAGCTGGTTCTGCAAAACTAGACACATAGCTCTTTAGAATGATAAAAAAAAACCCCTGAGCACAGCTGCAGCTGTGTTCAGTCAAACTATTGTATTTTAGGAACATGAGAGGAATATGCTTCAGTCAACACTTGCTGTGAGTATAAGTCAGGCATGTCTGTTGAACTTAACAGTAGTGAAGAATAGTGCAGTGCCTGAAAATGTGGGTCATTAGCCTAATCAACTTTATTCTGAATAGTAATCTGTGGACAGATGTATGTAACTTGTTTTCAGAGATGTTAAACTGAATTTTCACTAGCAAGAGTCATGCTGGACTCTTAGCAAAAACTAGAATTAAAAAGGAGCTTCAATAAAATCAAGGCTTCTGAGCTTAAGATCAAACAGAAAAAATTGTTTGTAGTATTTTCTGTAAGATTATATCTATTAAAATCTTAAAGATGTAATTTTGTAGAATGAAAAAAGTGTTCCTAGTAAAAACTGTTTCAAGAAGCAAAGAATAATTCAGCACACTTTTAATTTATGTGTTTATTTATTAAATACGGAGAACTTTAAAAGAACAGTTTCATACCTATAGAGAATGAAGGTATTTAGAGAGTATTCCTTCTTTATCACTAATCACTTGATCTCCTGCCTCTTTTTTTAATGAAGGTGTCTGAAGGAAAACATGATACTTGATGAACAAATGTTCTGTATTAAGAAATGATAATTGCAACATCTGTCAGTTGTCCCCATTGTTCTTTTCAGCATAGTAAGACAGCACTTACTGTCTTACAGTAAGTGCTATGGCACTGTGTTGCTGTAATTGTGCTTTTGCACAAGAATTAAGAAGCTGCTCAGTGCATAATACATGCTTAAATATGAATGTAAAGACTAAATATAAGTGGAATTTTAATTGAGCTATGCAGTATGTATACAATGTACCTATGAATGTTGGGTTCATTCATAAACAAAGTTTAAGATAGCTATTAAATAAATCACATAAATAAATCACATAAACAAAGTATAGTGGTCTACTTTTCTAAAGCATGTTTTTGTCTTGAATTTTGAAGCCTAAACAATAGTCAACATGCATCAACCAGACTTGTTTGAGAAGCCACTTCAAACAAGTTGATTTCACATTGCATCTTTTCTGTAACTTTACCATAAGCTTATTTTTAAATGAATAAAACTCTACTGAGTGAAAGGGTTACAAGAAAAGGATCCACTGTTGCTATCCTGCATATAATCTGCCACTATGGCTGTAAAAAGTGTGAACGGAAATTGTTAACATGCTGTCTTAAGCCAAAAGATAAAAATTTCATTAACTGCTTCTTTAGCAGATGAGGAAGAGTAGATTGCAGAGATGATAGAAAGAGGAATCCTCTGCAGAAAAAGAAAAGCTGAGGACACAAAGGAGTGAGTTGCAGAGATATTTAAAAGTAGAGAAAGGGGAATGAGGAAGAGAGAAATGAGAGGTAGAAATGCTATCCAAATGAAAAGTACGTTTTTTCCATTGTATGCCTCTGAATAAAAAGTAAAGCATTGACAATATCAAATGGTAATATTTACTTTAATGACTTTATCTTTGATCTGTGCATAAAAAATATTTATATGTATGCTTGTTTCCTTAAAATTTTCAAAACAACCACAATAAAGAGAAATTCCAAGAGCAGTAGCCCTCATATCAAAGCCCTTGACTTCAGATGTTCTGTTCTGTTCTGTTGCTGCACTGAAAGAGTAGTTTATGGAACCTAAATCATTTTTACAATATAACCTTTTATCTCCCCGTTTACGCTCTCATGATCATATTTCAAAAAGTGTATTTTGGTTATGCAATGTTAACAATGTTGTATTAATTATTCAAACTTCTGTATGTTATTCAAACTTACGTTTCCTAATCTGAGATTTTGTTACAAATGGGAACGTAGCAGTTAATGTTGATTCTATATGCACTTGAAGACAAAAATCCAGATTCCCTGGTCTTCATGTCATGAAATTGTATTTTCCTCAGTGCTTGTTAGGATTTCTACAGCCACCCACTAAATCAGAGAACTTTTTTGTGGCATTTTAATTGCAAAGCATGGTTATTTTAGTTGTACACATTACTTTCCAAGATTATCATTTGATGTTCTCTATAATTAAGAAGCCTTTTCTAAGCTCATAGCCCTCTTCTTGCCAGACACCTTGCTTAGATTTAGTGTGCCGAATACTTCTGGAATTTTGCGCAGGTGGAAAACTCAATGCAGCCATGTTTGTCCCCTTCTTCTGGCTTCCACTTTAATTACTGGATGAAGATAATTCAACAGTTAAAAAACAAGTGATTAGTTCTGGGTTGTAGTCTTGGCAGTTGTCCTTCAACAAAATGTGACTCACATCAGGAAAGGAAGACAATATGAAATGTACAGTGTTAGTACAAGCATGTCCTCACTCCTGCATCAGGATCTCTAAACTATTTTCTTTGAGTAACTTGGTAAGTCAAGCTTGGATGCAAATGTAATTCCCTCACTTTGACTGAAATCCAACTTTTACCATCAGCAGAGCATCTGCCATGTGGGGTTTAATCAATAAAACTGTAATAAGTTGTTTTGTTTCGAGGCAGGGCATATACTTTACATTTGACAAGTTCCCCCCTCACTGATCTTCATTTTTAATAGTAAGTTTCTTCTAAAATATATTTTCCCATTCTCAGTCTGCCAAGGAAAAACTCTTTAAGACTGAGCTGTATTCTCTAGCTATGTTGGAGGAGCTGTAAGAGCTCTTGTGCTGTTACCTTTTTTAAATGTGCACAAAAAGTGCTTGACAGGCTCTGATGCCAGTAAAGTAGATTGTATACATAATGCATATCAGTTCTTGTAGTGTTCATTGATTTGGAACAAATTTAATCTTCCAGTGACCTTTCTTAAGGAATGGTACTTTTGCTGACATTGCTAAGTGCTGAATCCCACTAGAGTGAGTAGGAGAAACTTTACACACGCAGTAACATCTTCAATATCTTTGCTGCTTGAAGTGCTGCTAATCCTACATTCTAGGCACGCAAATGAAATTGCAAAGAAATTGTGTTATCTATAAATGTGCTACAATGTCAGAGTGGTTTTAGAGCAAGAAAAGATTATTTTAAAAGTGGATGAGGGTTTTAGGGTAAGTCACTCAATTTCAAGAAACTCTAAAGAAACAGTAAATGCATTGAAATAATTTTCACTATTTTTGGTATCTTGAATCAATTCCCCAAAACTCCAGGTAAATAGAAATTGACAGAGAATTTTAGAGGCAATTTTGCCTCTGCTGCTTTATGAAAGAAAGGTTATAAAATTAAAAAAATAATAATAGAAGATAAAAAGTTATCTACAGAAAGGAAATAATGATGATCTTCTGTATAAAACTTGTTTTTTATTGCTGTAAGAGGAAACTAGAAGTCATGGAACAGAGGGACCGTGATTCAATGCATGTTGAAAATTAAAAAAAAGTTTGGAATTTGACTGCAAGATGTCATCCAGAACCTGGAAATTTTTAAGCTGCTGTCTCAATTTTTAATTGAAACTCAATTTTAATTAACAAATAATACATTCTGTTGTATCAAATATTACCTAAAAGCTACACAGGAAAAAAAAAATTGCTGTGCTTGTTGCTATAGCAGCAGAATCAAAACAGCTATGAAGAAAAGAATAATGATTTAACTCAAAGAAGTAGGAATGCTTTGTTGAACAAAGTGTAGATTTTACTTCAAGAAGGATACTGTGTACGTGCTTATCATCTTTTGACTAAATGGATATCAAATGATGATGATAAATATCTACTGAATCTCACTAAGAAAGCTGGAAGTAGATTTGCTCTATCACTATGTATTGAAGTATTGGTGGACCTTTTGGAAAAGGTCCTTCCAGAGACTGTGGATCATGACAGCATCTCCCTCACTTCGTCTCTTCAGTCAACACATTCCCCAGATGATCAAGCATTTCTCAAAGTAGTGTTAGATTCCATCTATAGGAGAGTGCTTTGTATAGCTCAGCAAGACCTGTTCCTCCACTCATGCCTGGCATGCAGATGCAAGGACACTTGTCCACAATGGCAGTGCTCAACTTAAGTGTGCAGAAGCTCTCCTTTGCCCTAGGACATTGCCGTGACATGATTATATTGCTCATTGTTAGTAGGAGGCTCGGCTTCAAAATTAAAGCCATACTTAAGTGTTTTTTTGACCTGATGTAACAGTGAGCACAAGGCAGGCAGGCATTTCTTTAGGTTCAAATGCTTGTTCAAGAGAAAAGTCTTAGTCAGAGGCCTGGGTTTGAGAGGTTCAAGTTAAGTACAAATTGTCACGTAAATTCTCCAAACAGTTCAAGACTTGCCATTAAAATATGGAAATGCAGTGGCATTTCTGCCATAAGGAATAACCGCAGACCATTGCTTCTCCTTCATCACATCACTGATTTTAATTCTGCTGAGAGATGGTAGTACATGATTGGATCAAATCTGAGAGAGTTAGGGAAAGGTGGAAAAACACTTCACTTCTGAGCAAATAAGAGTCAGCAGCAATTCCATTGGAAAATGAGTATGCAGACTTTTGCAGCCTGCATTTAGGTTACCTAAAATCTGCATTTGATACTTGATACGTTTTGTTGAACATAGTGATGGAAGATATCTTGATTTATGTAGTGAGTAATGGCATTTTTATTATCTATTTGTTGTAGGTTGGAAATCTTCCGAATGATTATCTGATAACCCTTAAATATGTCCCGAAGATGGATAGCCTGGTATGTACAACCACTTTATGTTAACCCCAGTAAAACAGCCCACTGAAAACCGTGGTGTTGATAACATTTTGTAGCTAGTCCTATGGCTTACTAAGTTATAGTTAAAGGATGTTTATTTCACTTGTCATATGCATTGCAGTTATTCATTTAAAAAACAAGAATGTAGAAAGTTTCCTACTGTAACTTAAAATGTTAATAATTATAGAAATTTGAAAAAAAATATTTCTTCATATTCAATGTTTTCATATTTTCTCTGAAAAAGAATTAAACTGTGGTGACCATGGAAAATTTTTCCTTCTTACACAGCTCGTTTCTTTTGAATTTTACTTTGGAATATCCTCTAGAGTGTCGTTCTAGTTTAAGCTTGTGGAAATGCCATTGAAGCACAGCAAATATGCACTAGCCAAGGAGGAGAAGCTCAAGTTCAGAAAATGACAGTGTCAGTAACTAAACAGACAGAGAAATTTGGGACACTTTCATTCAAACGCAGTTTCTATGTAATGCCATACATAGTGATGCTTTTAAATAAATGTCTGCTGTCTTCTTTACAATTTTTTTTTATTTAATCTTAAAACCATTGTCATGCTATCTGATTGTTTTTTTCTACCAAATGGTTTTCATTTTTCCTTAGTTTTAGTAATATATTTAGGAAGGATTCATTACCAGTGCTCTGTTTGTTATTGCGTGCACTACAAAAATAAGTAAATAAATAAACAAGAGAGAAGAAAAAAAGAGTGAAAGTAGAAATTATGCTGAGTGCATGTTATTTAAACTTTATTCCTTAAGCAGGAAAACTCAGCAGAAAAAAATGCTGTGGAATACCTATGCAAGGTCATATATAACACAATTAAAACTGATGGAAAAAAAAAATTGAATTTCTGAAAATAGCAATTACCCAGTAAGGCAGCTATCATCCCCTGGCTACAGTGCATTTTGAAATCCAGCTATTTGGATGCCTGCTGTGCTGAGCATTGCTTCAGTGGTGGGCAGCCTTAGAATAGGTTCAGTGCCCTGCTGAGGGCACTGCAGCTGCCCTGTGTAGGCCAGGCTGTGTTATAGCTATTCTCTCTGTTGCTCTCTTGGGAAGTGTTTACACTGTGGCTGAAGAACACCAGGGAGTCCGCCTGTGCAATAGGCTCCTGGTCGTTCTCACTGCTTACCTCTTACCTCCCTCCGTGGTTCAGTTTTGGCTGACAGTAAGCAGTTTCTGCTTCTTTAGTTTAAATACCATTTCATCTTGCTGCATCACATCCAGAAACTTAGATCCAGTTTACATTTACAATGAGCAGCCAAGAATAGGGAGAAGAGAAGTTTAGAGCTGGGATTTCCATATTCGCTTTGCTTGTACACCACATTCAGTAGTGATGAGGGAAGGTGCAGCTCTTGGCCTTGTGCCTTCCCAGGAGGAAGTATTCAGCAGTATTCACGTCCCACTTTGCCAAATTCCTTTCTGGGGATTTCAGGTTATGTTACACATACCACACCAAAGGCTGGCTGAATAAGTAGGTTTTGTTCCAGGTTCTAAGAGATCCCTTCAAGCTGAGAAAGCCATGGCAGATGCCTTTTTTTTCAGCTTTTGAAACAGCTCTCTCTGCAGTTTTTTTGTTTTTTTGTTTTTTTCAACAGACTTCAATCTTCACTGAGTGCACAAAGTGAGAAATGTACCCAAGGTAGCAAATTTTGAATGTAGATGACTAAAGGTGGGAAGGCAGAGTGAATGCAAAGCTAATGGAAAGCCAGTGTAGTGCACATAACAGGAACAGACTGACCCGATCCATTAAATAGAGGGCTGTTGCATTATGCACTAGCTCATTGCGTCTGAGTGGCATTAAAAGTAGTTTTGAATGGAGTGAAATGTGTAGTTAAACCTGAAGATTAAAAGGCAAAGACTATAGCATCAGGGGCCAATTTCTATGGAAGAGAGAAATTCCAAACTGTTGAATACAGAAATAAAAGTATCACGTGTACCTGAGAGTACAGAGGAAGTCAGATTTGTAAGTAGCCCAAGACATAAATGCTGGTCCAAATTTACACACAAACAGCAGAGTTAATTCTCCATTTCTTCTTGGTAAACAACATATTTGCTGGATTTAACAGTTTTATCCCTGTGTTTGGTAGGTATTCAGAAAACTAACACTTGCACAGCTTGATGTTGCTGAAAAGAAAACTAAAAATTCTCATGAAATAAAGTAGTAAAGCTTTGCAGGGCAGAAAAGTTCATTTGGAGGAGATTCTCATGCATTTGTAAAACCACAGGAACAGCAAAGCTGAATCCCTGCTGGATTTGCCGTATCACCTCCTTACACACTAGGATAAGTGAAAAGCTTTTGCTCATCTGTGCCACTGTAGAACACGCATCCACAAAAATTTGTAGTTTTACAGCTCAGAGAAGCACTATATTGATGTTCCTACACCAAAGCAGAGGAAAATTTGTTTTCTGTCTTCTGAGGGTAATGAGACATAGAACATTGCATGCTGCTTGAATGGAATACATTTCAACAAGCCTCCCTCCTGATTTACTTCATTCTGTTTCTCCCCTCCCACTGTAAGGCTTGAAGAAAAAGGAAGCAGAGAATGAAGCCAAATGCTATTCATTTAACTTTTTTTTTTATTATTATTATTTAAACTTTTTAAGCTCTTGTAATTATACATTCACTGAATGCAGTAATAGTTTTCACTTGTTAGGAGTGCATGAGATAGTTTCAGTGCTGAAGATTGGAAGAGTTAATTCAGGAACTGACAAAAAAGAGAGTATGCGTAGAAGCAGATTCAGTGTCAGATGCTTTCTGTGTGTTGTAAAACAGAGATTCATTGGATGCTGCTATCACCATCCTACATACCATAGAAACACACCTTAGAAACTAATTCAGTGTTACTGAGGGTGCATCTTTCTTTGGGATTGCTGGGCCAAAATCTTTGTAGCTGACAGGCCTGAATCATCCTGATACATTTTTAACAGTTGAAAAAAATAACTCCATATATGGAATTATGGAGTAAATTCCCATAGCATTTACTGTCAATAATGCAGTATTTATTGGGAAGAGATTTCTATACATGCATTGCAATGTGACTAACACATAAGAGTATTTTTCCTTTTTTCTAAAAAGTCAGTGGAAGGACTTGAACTCTATTCCAGTGGCACAGATGTGACAGATCCCATCATAGGATGTGTAAAAGAAAAAAAAAATTGTTGACAGCATCTCAGGAAAATAAAGACTGTTGAATATAGAACCTTTCTATCAGAAATGACTTTCAGTGAAAATGCTAAGAGGACTTAACTGAGCTGATTTCCTCAGAGGTGGATAAATATGCACGTTAATTTTGACAGCAAAACTTTTCTGGAATCATTCTTCAAAAGAGATTTAAATCAAGAATCTTTGGGGTTAACTCAGTTATGCAGAGTAACAATAATAAAATGAGAACTGTGCGTGCTTTAAAAAAGTCTGTAGAAAGTTGCTAAAGCAGTAGTTATTTAAAAAATTAAAATAGGTTAATGAGAGCATCGAAAAGTGTTCATAGTAGTATGTCCTAGGGCTGAAATCCTCAACAGACTGTTGCTTAGCATTCATTAAGAATTTAATGAAGGGATGGCATTTAACAGACAACCATAAATATGTCAGTATCAGTGAGAATAGAAATTTTACCAAAAGAACTAAAGAGAAAGTTGGCCGACACCAAAGAAAGTGAATTTTAATTTAGACATTCAGGATAATTTAAATTGGAAAGAGCAGTCTGATCTACTTTTGCACATTGAGTTGCTTAACCAGTTTTTGCAGAAGTCTGATATTTAATCTACCTCTCTGTCTTTCTTTTTATCCCCTAACAGCCTAATCACTGTTGGTTGCATTTGATGGTGCCTGAATTTTCAAGGAGTCTACATAGTCTTCTCCAGAAATTTTCGGATATTTCCGATATGTCTGATGTTTTAAGCAACTATTCAATCATTAATAACCTCACAAGGATAATAAATGATCTTATGGCATGTCTAGCTTTTGATAAAAATAAGGTAATCTAACACGGAGATTCTACTTTTCATCTTCCCTGTACATTTATTTCTGTGCTGTATGTTCTTAGTTTTCTGTAATTCACAGAATCAAACTGCTATTGATTTTCTTATAGAATAGTCTTAGATCTAGTTCTGTCAGCATTAAAGAGAAAACAATCTTAGAACCAAGCTTTAGGAAGTTTTTTAACCTGTATTCTAACCACTCCTACTGGGAGTAATAAGTCCAGACCAAATCTGAACTGCTGGCATAAGAAGCAACTGTTGTGTGAAAACCAGTCTGTCACAAAGAAGAAAACAGCAATCAGTCTTAACATGGTCCTTAACTTTTTGTTTAGTCTGACATAACACACTTGTCTGTTAGATCTCAGAGTGATTGGGCTTCCTTGTTTATAACCCTGCTCTTATTTTTAGTTACATTATCAAAGATCTCAACCTGCTTTGTTACAGCTATTGTATTCTGTTCCCTGTACTCTTACAATAGCTATGATTGTGTTGTGTTCCTGGATCCAGGTTAAAAGAAACATGCAGAGCATAACAAAGTAATGTGAAATCAAGGTGTTTTTTTTTATATTTTAAATGAGGAAACTCAAAGAATGAAAAATCTCTTTGTTTTCAGCATAGGATGGGAAACTGCTTTTAATTTCTTGGCATTATTACAACAGTGGAATAATATTTTATTTCTATTTACAAAGTTAATTTGAAAACATCAAACGGTTGTGACATTTGTACACAGAAGATCTGGTCTTCTACAGGATAAAAATTTAAGCTATTGTATGTCACTTTGGATATTTTTATCATCTGTTGAGGTGCTGATGTGTGCATCTCTCCTGACCTTTTCAAGTTGAATTCTATATTTTATCCTAGGATTTTATAAAAGAAAATGGTCACCTTTATGAAGAAGATCGCTTCATTCCTGAGAATTTCTTTAGGCTCTTTAATAGTACCATTGAGGTCTACAAGGAATTTGCAGATTCACTGGATAAGAATGAGTGCATTATGCCTTCAACTGTAGAAACACCAGAGAATGGTAAGATGGCTCTTGTTTGGGAGAACAGAATCTAAATAAAGAGAAATGGGTGATTTTCCTTTGGTTTCAAGATGCTAAGAATTCAATGGTGTATCTAAATGTTTCCATTTTACTGCCAGCTAAAATTACCACCAACACCAAAGTTTGTATTTCTGTTCAAAGGAGATTTATATCTGGCAGTAAAACTACTGCCATCGTTTCTAGTGACATTGTTCCTTAATATAATCCAGATAACTTCACAATGCTCTGCTCTGTTTCTTTTCATCCTAAATACATCCTGGATCATTTTCATACATTGCTCTTATTCTTCATCTTATCTTCTATTGATGCTCTATTTAGTTTTTATAAGGCAGTAAAGGAGCCTAAGATTATACTACTTAAAGGATAGAAAGCTAGGATAAGTTGTAAACTGGAGTAGCCTCAAGTCACCTCCATATTCACCTCACTCCTCCTGAAAAGGCCCATGTTTACTTGATGTGAAAGATACAACTAGCTCAGGTCAGGCTCCTGCAGCTGATTCTCATCCTTTCAGTAAATGGAGGTTTCGTATTCTCTTTTCTTTTACTCTCTCTAGTGACAGCTATTAGCTGTTTTAATTAGGGCGACATATCCATTTGCACAATTACACCAGTAATAACTAGAAGCAGATCAGTGCCACTACCTAAGAACTTGCTTAAAGCAATTGCTTTTCCAGAATAGCTATTCAGCAGCAGCTCAGTATGTGGACTCGTCTGTCTCTTAATAAGGCAGCCTTTTTTGGCCTATTAAGAAGAAATCCCTACAGCCAAATTTTAGAAGAGCCAAATAGCTCTATAGACCTTCATTACATATAGAGGGAACTGTATGTTAAGTTACATAATGCTGACACACTCATTTTCTATTTAGATTCCAGAGTCGCTGTCACAAAAACAATTTCGTTTCCTCCTGTTGCTGCCAGCTCCCTTAGGAATGACAGCATTGGCAGTAATACTAGCAGTAACAGTAACAGTAAGTATTGAATTAATACTTGAATTAATATATGTGTCTACATTTTGTTCTGGAAGATGGTTGTTATTAGAGTTCAGAGGAAAAGAACGTCTTAATTGTGCAAATTAAGTTACTTGGGAAGTTACTTGTGCCTGATGGTGCACCATGTGTTTCTCAACTGTAACACCAAAATGCAATTAATCAAAATTTAGAAATGCTGTAAAGTTGCAATGCTGTGACAGCTCTATGCTTCTTGGAGAGGGCAGGTCTCTTCCTGTTGGCTTATTGTTGTTGTGAGGCCTCACTAGTCACGTGGTCTCAGCAAACTGAGTTACTCCAGGCACATCATTTTCAGTCTTAGAAAAAGAAGATGCTCCAAACAGAATAGCTATCCTGAATTGATCCTAGGAGACTTGTTTGGGTGAAGAGCTCCTCTGTACGTATTTTGAGAGCACTCTGGTTGCCAAAGTTGACACCAAATCTGAAGACAGTCCCTGCTGTATGTAGTTACAGTAGGGCCAGCTTCATGCTGAGGAAGTTTTTGGTTGAGATCAAGGAATTAATTACTACAGTTTTGGAAGGCTGTAATCTTCTATCCAGCCTAGTGTTCTCTGTGCTTCTTATCTATCTAGATGAGTGTATTACATGACTAGTCACTGACATATAAAACAGCCTGGAGTTGTTTCCGTAAGAGCCTCAGTGTTACCTGTCATGGGTCAGAACGAATGTAGGAAGCTAAGGTGAAGAGAACAGAGTTTCAGGGGGTTTTAATGACCTTAAAGGTTCCTGAAATGGTGCATAAAGCTTATTGTGCTGTAATTTTTCTTGCTCCTTTTTCCCAGACATGCCAGGATGATAGCATGCATTTCTTTTTATTATTTCATGTTTTAAAAATATCAGCATTATCTGAATGTGTAATGTTGAAGTGTGTGGCAGGTACTCCTTGTGATTAAGAAAGCACAGGCACTGGTCGGAAGCTCCTGATGGTAGGACAGAACCTACTTGGAGTTTATTTATTCTCTTCTTCCTTCAGTTGCAAATGTGTAATCTAGTTATTCCCTAGGTTTTCAGCACCACGCATGCTACCACATAGATAGTTTATAAATGTTGTCAGGTTGAATCACTTTGTAGTTAACAGAATATCTTACAACACCTCAGAGCAATCTGAGAAGAAGGCTGGAACAAAATCATAGCATCATAGAATGGTTTGGGATTGAAGGGACCTTTAAGATCTAGTTCCAAACCTTCTGCTATAGGCAGGGATGCCTCCCACTAGACAGGTTGCTCAAGGTACCATCCAGCCTGGCTTGAACACCTCCAGAGAGGACATCCACAACTTCTCTGGCAACCTGTTCCAGTGTCTCACCACCCTTACAGTAAAAAAATTCTTCCTAACATCTACTCTAAATCTACCCTCTTCAATTTAAAAGACATTTCCCCCTGTCTTATTAGTACATGCCCTTATAAAATTTCCCTCCCTAGCTCTCCTTTAGGGCCCCCTTCAGGTACTGGAAGGCTGTTATAAGGTCCTCCTGGAGCCTTCTCTGTAACAGGCTGAAGAGCCCCGACTCTCTCAGTCTGTTCCCACAGGGGAGGTGCTCCAGCCCTGTGATCATCCTTGTGGCTCTTCTCTGGACCTGCTCCAACAGTTCAATGTCCTTCTTGTGTTGGGGGGCCCAGAACTGGATGCAGTATTAGGGGTCTCATGAGAGCAGAGGGGCAGAATCACCTCTCTTGATTTGCTGGCCAGTTTTCTTGATGCAACTCAGGAAATGGTTGGCCTTCTGGGCTGCAAATTCATACTGCTGGCCTATCTTGAGTCTTTCATCAACTGAAATTCCCAAATTCTTCTCAGGGCTCTCAAGCCATTCTCTATCCACTCTATATATGTGCTTGGTTCCACCTTCAACTCTTGGCTGGCAGCTTTCCTTTCTGAAAAAGAGAAGTCTCAGTGCCATAAATTCCTATCCAGGAGGTCACAGAGCTGGCTGCAAACAACCTGATGAGCCTACAGCCAACTGTGAGGCACCAGGAGGGGGCTAAAAAGTGCATACCTGTCTCTCTCAGGTCTGAGCATGTGATAATTTTTGATGTAACTTTGAGAGGAAGAATATTCAAATGCAGCCTGAAGCAATGGGAATGGATCAAGGAGCCAAAGAATGAGAGAGACAGACTACAATAACAATTTATTTGAAAGGAGTTTTGACCCAGCACAGTAACAGGAGGGTCATCAGGCAGCAAAGCAGAGTATAGAGCTCTGGCCAGAGCTGTGCTGGGTACAAGAACACAGAAAAAGGCATGTTAATCTTATTTTGTAACTGATTATCAAGTAGGAAAAAAGCCTAATTAAAATAATGCAATAAGTCAAAGAAATTGCTTGGCTGGCCATATGCTGTACAGGTGTGCTCTAACTGATTATCATTCTCTTAAGCAACTTACTGGAAAATTGGATACCACAGCCTTATGTAGAAATGACAAGGTCTAAATGTCTAGGACTGAGGACAGTTTGTACACTTAATCAGATTAAATTACATTAATTTGAAGATTGGACACTGACTGGTTACACTTCAGTCATTAGTTTGGAAGGGGAAGGACTTGTTGCATAGTTATTGGCATCTCTTATTGTCTGAGAATGATCTTCAGTACCAATTTTATGTTGTCTTGGCCTTACTGCTAAATAAGCTTTTTTTTTAGTTAATCTTTGTCTTCATGAAGCAAACAACAACGAATGAATGTTGTAACATTCACATTGGGAATCCTCAGGGCAGATAACTCAGTCTGCTGGCTGTAGGTTGTTCTTGGAACAGCATCACTAAATTCAAAGTTCAGAAAGGCAAACATTTGGAGCAGAAACTTGGAGAAACTTGGAGAAACCTGAAAAATGCATCCCCAGACAAAAACTACTGTGGTATTTTTTTTTTTTATGACCCTCTTCACTACTAAACTATTAAAATGAACAATTTAAATTAATTGTTTATAGACTATTGAGAAACATTCACTGTTAGAAATGAATCCTTCCAGATAAACAACAAATATTGAATCTATTAATATAGTCTGCTTGGAGAGTCAGACGTCTTGAACTGCTCTTGATTTTAAATTCAGCTTAGACAAACCTGAAAAAAATCATCTAATAAAATAATGTGTGAAATAATTACTATAGAAATGTCATATAAACAAGCTAAATTAAATTTTCTCATGTTGTTCTGCATTTATTGCACATTGTATCTCAAGATTCGATCATTATTGCACAATGATAAAATTGAACTGCTATGATAGAGTTCACACATCATCTAAACCAAAGATTTTATTCCAACTAGATGTAAAGTGGAACAATTATCCTTTTCTAATCTTTTTTTGAATGACATAGTGTTGTTTTCCTGGTAATATTTAATGTAGATCTCTGTCGTGTTCCCACTCCATCTTTGGTTCCACAATATTATTCTTCCTTCCTTCCCTTTAGTTTTTCTTGGTTCTACATGATGCAATCCAGTTTAAACACTGAGGAATTGTTTATGTCTTAGTTCCACTGATTCTCTGTATTCTCTGGATCATTAACACCTGCACAGAACAGAGAATTCAAATTAATGGTTTCTAAAAAAGGAATTAATGTTAGGATAAGAGGTCTTGAATCTTGTTCTCTTTCAGTGCTATAATCAAGCAAGCTATAGTAGTCCTTTTTCTTTCCACCAAATGAATCTCATCTTTCCCTCTTAAACTTGAACTTGCTAGCTGTTACAGCACTTAACTAAGCTCTTTATTCTTACAGTGCAATTTATATTTTTCAGTGTTGCTTTCTTCTATTTTTGCCTGTAATTTTCCCATAATAATTAAGCCTTATTATGAAATACTGAACAGCTCAGAAAACATGTGTGCACTGTAAACACAAAGATCTCTATGAGTGATTTTAGGAAGAAGTTTGACTTTTATAATTAAGCAAAGAATACTGTAGTTTAATTCTGTAATTGCACAACAATTAAAAAATATTACCCATGGCTTAATGCAATTGGTGTTTCATTCTGTGCTTTTACAGTTAATGGAAAACCCTAATGAACAGGTGAAAGCTGTTCTACATTTTTGTAGATAAGATCTTGTGGTAACTGTGTTAGAGCTGAGCAGAGGTAAAGTGAAAATTCCTTTGAGTCATATAAGGCAATAAAATCTAGTTGGTGGTTTGAATCATAATTGCTTGCTAAACTTCCACACATGGCTCAAAGTGGAGAGCAGCTCAATAACTTCTTTGTGTAGCTGAGTGGCTTTCAATGTAAACGTATTTCATTCAGTTTAACATACTGATGTCCGTGAAGATTATACATGAATCTACTTCACATGAGCTCACTTCCTAAGGGATTCTTCCACAAGGTGTTGAAGTGAGCGCACAAAGCGGTGCTGGCCTGCTTCCACATCCCTTTAGCACCTTGCAGAAATAAAGTCTGTTTCAAGTAAATAACCTACCAACTGCAGAGCCAGAAGTTCCTCTGGTGTTGCCCAAAGAGTTCATGAAGTTACCATACCACCTGGTTCCTCCTATTCCTTCTCCTGCTCTCTCTTCTCAAACACTAAAAGTGGGAATCCTTTTGTGTAGAGCTGTTCTAGTTCAATTTCTACCAGAGGAAAAAGTCTCAATTAAAGGGATAAAAACTACTGGCAGCCAGCTTGTCTTTCTCATTTCCCTTCACTGTGGCACAGAATCTGGGAGATTCTCCAGACTGAAAATTCTCCAACCTGTTCTGACTTAGGTATTTAGATGAATGGAAAGCACACGATAAAATCTGCCATGCATGACTTATTTACTCTCTCCAAATTTTTCAAGAGATATTTTTCCTGATTCAAAAATAAATTTAAAAGATATTTTGTTATTTGCTTTTTAAAAGTAGATTTAGGTTACTTAAATTTCAAATTAACTCAAACAAAATGAAATTATGAGAAAAAATCTATTTTTGTTTTTAAAAGTAGCTTTGTGCATTTTTGTTGCTTATTTTTTTACAATTTGACTGTATTTAGGTTCTGCTCCTGGATTTCAGGTCTCCACATGGAAAACTAAATATATATCACTTTCAATAGACGCTAAAGAAAGCATTTGCATTGTAGATATCTTCTCAGAAATCAGATTTTTCTACTTCTAGATATCTCATTATAAAGAAAACTCTTCTTTATCTAAGACTCTCTAAAGTTAGTGAAAATTTGTAAAAATTATCATGCCAGAATAACACTGATCTCCCCGAATGCAGACTATTTATTTAGAAGTTGACGTAAAAATCAATATGCTTGCCATACCATTCTAACAGGCATTACAGAGCAGATAGAGGATTTTGAGGTTAAGCAGTCTGCAAAAACTTCTTATCAAATGACTTGCTCTTTGTGACCTGAAGAAAATTTTTTTCTCCCACTTTTCTAATTTTCTGAAGTTTGTAGAACAGAATCCAGAAAACATGACCATCCCATGACCAGCGTTATAACTAACCAGTCTCACACTGGGAAGAATGATTAATGTAATTAGGCAAAGCAGTGTTGCATTTTAATTGACTAGAACACAGGAACATAATAGAAATTTTCTCATGTGAATACAAGTTGCATAAATTAAAGATAGGATTTTTTGTTTCAGCTACTCAGACCATCTCCACACCACTTCAATTTGTCCAGATTTCTCAAAGTTCAATTTGAATAAACACACCTCTATACCTAACCTAGGACAGACTTTCATAAAAGATATCTCACTCCTGTTAATTTCCACTCTTTTCTACTGACGTTCATTTCTGTAGAACTTTCCCTCCTCCTTAGACATATTTCTTTCCAGTAAATTATCATCTATTCTGTTTGTCCAGTGTTTCCTTTTAGTGCAATGAGCCTACTGATGTAAGTAAAATTCAAGCCCCTATTGTCAGAATCTAGAGTTTTAAACAGTACATAACAAGGAGTGTAGACTTGTTTTCATATAGTTTTCTCTATGGTAACTCTAGAAATATGGCTTAATTTCAGAGAAAAAATATTTGTGTAAAAGCTTGTAACATGACACACAGAAAAACTCAAGAGAATGAAAGTGAGTTGCCAGTTAATTATAAGAATGCTCCTTTCTAAACTAAAGTGTTTTCTCAGTGGCTCTTTAATAATGTACTAAACACACATTGATTGACCCAGTATTTCACACCATATGTGCTTAGAAATTTGCTGTTTGTGTAAGTCACTTGCACAGATTTCTAGTCCTACAACTCCATTTTCATTTCTGTATCTAATTACCCACACTATTTCTATGCTTCCAATTTGGTTCTTTTGCAATAATCTGACAATACACCCACCATTTGAGCTGCAAACATCAAATTTTGAAATTAACTGCAAGCCTGGTGTATGGTGTCTAAACTGGCAGTCTCCTACAGCTCACTTTGCATTTCAGAAAGTGGATCCCAGGGTGACTCCACAGGACTTTTCACATGCTGATCTTGATCAAGTAACTGGATAGCCTCGTTTTAGTCTTGGTATGCATACAGCTCCATATGAGGAGAATGGAATTTCTTATTCTCATAAAAAAACTAGAACTAGGGCTATTCTGTATAAAATGCAAAAAGCTATCAAGAAATGGTAGCAAAATATAGCACACAGCTAGACTTAAACTTACAAGGTTTTGATCTTATTGAAGTCAGCAGGACCTTACCAGGCAGACATTAGAAACAGAGTCAGACATTATTGTTAAATCAAGTTCTGTGTCATATGTGTCTTATGGAGCTTAAACAAATGCATGAAGTGAGTGTTTTAAAGTGACAACTATTTTGTCTTCACAGAAATTACTTTGTGATACAAGATAATTAAAAGCTGATAAAAACAAATTTTCCCTCAAAGTGAGAGAAAAAGAATGTGCTCTACAAATGACAAAAAAGATAATCAGTCTTGGAACTATTAAACAGAACAGTTTCATAAGGGGGAGGAGCATCTCTGTGATCAAAAAGAGTTCTTATGATATTTTGGATGACATGCACCTCATGTACACAGCATTTTGAAGTATCTGTTTTGCTATCTTGATGTTATTATGTAGATGGTGCCTAAAAGTGCTCTTGTTAATAGTATTGCCCTGAAGATGGTTTTCTGCCATAAATCTGTCTTCACTAATGAGAACATCTGTAATTGCAGAAGAGGCACTTGGCTTCATTAGCAGCTCCAGCCTGCAAGGGATCAGCATAGCATTGACATCATTGCTGTCTCTTATCATTGGGTTTATTTTGGGAGCCATATACTGGAAGGTAAGAAATATTTCATTTAATTGTTTGCGTAGTTATATTTCATGGCTATAGAGAAGCTGGAAGAACAGAATGATTCTGCATGTGAAAGTCATAGACCTCTTTTTTGATCTTCTCTGAACTGTGTGACATGCAAACATAAAACTTTGTTGTCAAATTCTTCAGTTCCATCACTGATTTACAAAACTTGTCTTGTCAGTTTGATATTTCTCTAATTGGAAATTAAAAGCATGGGATTCCCCTGATTACCCAGTTCTTCTCTTATGTCTTGAGATGGGTTCCTACGGTTTTAGCCAGTGTAGCATTTTCTACAATAAAAAATATTTAATTTTAAAATTATACAATTAGGAAATGTGTATTAGAAGGCAGTATTTTACCTACATTTTGCAAAATTATTTTCATATTGAAAATCTGAAGCAAATTGGAGTAACAATTGCTTTCAGAGTTTTCAGCTAAAGCTTTAGAATATTTACATTTATTGCATTTTCTTTCTAGAAAACACATCCTAAATCCAGACCAGAAAGTAATGAAACTACCCAGTGTCATGGCTGTCAAGAGGAAAATGAGATAAGGTACAAAGTTCCACTTCACACACACACACATATACGTATAGAAATGTAAGATTATCTTTCAGAAATTTTCTGAAAATTCCTCTCTAGTTCTCAGAATAAACAAAGAAGCAAACAAAAAACAAACCTACAACCAACCAATCAAAGAAGAAAACTAAGCCACGCTGTTGGGGTTTGCCGTAGATCTGAAAAGTATGCTTAGGATCAGCCCTTTGAAGGAGGTCCAGTATGAAATATAAGAATTAATACAGAAGAGATTCCTGTGTGCAAAATTATATTAACAGAACGTTAGCAATGACTCATACAACAAGTAAGGAATAGTGATGAAAAGAAGCAGGTTTGAAGGGTTACCTTACAATGGAAGAATGAAGCCAACCCAGGATGGCTGAGACCTGTAGAGGAAGCAACAAAAAGAAGTGAAATTTGTTATTTTCTGTGGAAAGAGACCTAGGGATAGTTTTAAGTTAGAATATTTCATGTTACTATAATTCACGCTAAAATGTTTTGGGAGTATTATTTAACCCTCTATTTCAGAATCTTTAGTCACTTTTAATCTGTGAGGAATTATAACACCTAAAGGAGATCTACCAGTCTTACACTGTATGAAATGCCATCATGCTGCCTATGGTTGAAGACAGAAATAGGGAAAGTTCTGATCAGTAGTTTTTGGTTACGTGTACTACAGTTTTCAGGGTACAAACCTTCTAGGATAATACATTATTCAAACATTTTTTCATCATGTACAGTTCATATAAAAGAAAACTGCACATTTACCCAATATATGATTTGCTAAGAATAACTTTTCCTAGCACCTCAGCCTAGCAGGTGTTAAAATCTGTGAAGCCAAACATGAATCTTCCTTCTGACATCACAGGAAATATATAAAATGACTTTATAGGAGGGAGGAAAAGAGAGAGGAGGAAATAGAGCCATTAAGAAAATGCAGGAGATGACCCTAAGAGGAAAATGTAAACAGGTTACATACTTACTGTGCAGTTTGTTTTTTTTCTCCCTTTTCCTTGGGAAATTTTGAAAATTCATCAACAAGTAGGAAGAATCTGTTACCAAACATGTTTTAATACTTCTGATTCAATTACAGATATTTCTTTTTTATATATGTAGATGGTTTTATGTTAACTGACAAAGCCTTCCATTGTAGTTCCTCGAAACTGTAGTAATAGCACCTACAGTACTAGCACTGTAGTAATAAAGTACCTATTTTTTATTTCAGTATGTTGCAGCAAAAAGCAAAAGAACATCTACAAGTGTAGCTGTTGCTTTTTCTCCCTCAACACTGTTACTGTTTCATGTACTGGTAAGTTCTTGTGGTTAAAAGAGCTACCATAGGATTAACGTTTATCTGTCGAAATATGGAATCACTCAGAGTCCATTGGGGGAAAAATAATGTAATAAAACTTATTATCAGTAGATTTGCTTTGTGCCTCAGAACTTTAGTTGGTAATTTAGTTAATCTTGTATCATTAATTCTAGCTTTTGGATTTGAATGTAAACATTATAAAATAAAAGATGCTAGAATTCTGAAATGAAGGACAACTGCTGCTTCTCCTTTTTGGTGTGATGGCCAGTATGGAAAATATTTCAGCTGTTGTCCCCACAGCTGTGTAATCTAAAATCACAGTCTTTCAAAAGGCAGGATAGAACTGAAGTTCTTCCAGTTGTTTACTCAGTACTGTTTGCAGTTCTCCACAGCGTTATCAGATCCATCATTCTTGTTTGTATGTAAGATGGACAAACAAGAATGATGGAGGGAGCAGCAAATGTAAGTGAGCTTTCCTGTCCCAGCAGCTCTCTGCAAAAGGAACATTCCTCTGGCAAGGGCAGTCTGACCACGAGAGTTATGTAGTCACCATCGACTAGATGATATCAAAACTTTTTGCTGGAAAATGTGCTCTTGAATCAAGAAGTGCCATGAAGTTGAAATACATCAGAATAGAAATATTGTTTTGTTTCTGAGTTAGGGAATGCCATGCAAGTATCATGAATATATCTGTTTCCAAAATTATAGGAAAAAAATGTCTGTGTTACGTCTGTGAAGTGCTCTGCTGTTTAGTAGCATAGAGATGAAAATTAATTAGGAAAATTCTAACTGCTCTTTCTCTTCAGGCAGGTAACAGTTCCATGTTTGCTTCATAAATGAAGCAGCTTTAAGCACATTCATATTCCTTCTGGAGTGACAGACTGAGTCTGCATCTGTTGTTGCTGCCCATGACTCCACAGACATGACATAGAAATGAGGACAATTTTGTGTTTCTTACTGTGAAACCAACACTGAATCGAACAACAATAAGAAGAGTGTGCACTTAACAGGACTATACCTTATGTGAATATCTTCTTTGTGTGGCATTTGGGGTTTTTAATTGCATTTGTACTTGCGTCTGACTCTGACAAAGAAAGTACATGTCCAGAACAAAAAACATCTTTCAAATGCCTCTAACTATATGGAAACATTGAAAATCATAAATACCTTTGCATCCTTAATTTAAGTTCTGTGTCCTCTACCTTACCTTGGTGTCTTCAAATGGAATACTTTGAACTGAGAGAAAATGCAGAAATGGATATAAGATAACGCACTCTTCAATATTGTATATAAAACTTGAAAGTAAAGTCATGACGTGGACCAGTTTACTAGCGTTTCACTTATAAAGAACTGGGTTTATTCCTGGCAAAAGTCATGTGTACAGTGACACGTGGCCTCTGTTGTATGCCAAGTGGCTACATGCCCACCACGGAAAGCCTCAAGAGTTCATCAGCTTCGGTGGTGTCTGCTCAGGAGAAGCAAATACTGGATGAAGACAAAGTAAACAGGACATTACAGTACATCATGGAGCTTTGAAGCATTAGAAGCAACTGCTGGAGATGTGAACACTGGTGAAATTTCCAGCCATACCAAGGGAAGGGAGAGTAAAGAGTCTGAATTGCGTTCAAACATCATAATAAAGACAAACCCATGAAATGCATTTCAAATGCTGAATATGCATGCCATTGGTAACTTGTTCTCAAATGTATAGCATAGAAAATCTGAAAGATCCTGAGAGTGTATTTAGCTTTTACTTACGTCAGCTGTAATTAATATTTGCATTGTGTTTTTAATTATTAGTAAGCTTTACTATCCTGACATTCTCCACTCCTAAGATTAATTCTCTTGAAACAAAAGAGAAAGGCTTTAATTTCCACTTGTCTTCTACAACTACTGCTGCTGTAGCATCCATGAAATCTTGTACAAGTTTGATGTACAGGCATTTTCAAGAAAATCCTAAAAATACTGTGATAAAAGTTACAAGTACAGTTGTGCATCTTTTCATCTTCACTCTTTCTAGATAATGGTAATGAATCATTTATCTGTATTAGAGGTTTCTACTTTAGAATGTAAGGGTGGTTCACTTCAGATGACAAACTGCCATCCGTCATCAAACTGGCTATGTCAGTAAGAATTTTAGTTTGAGTTACTTGAAAATGTTGAAAAAATAAAAATAAAACAAGGAACACCTTATTCATGTTTTGGAGAAAGTTGGAGTTCTCTCTAAAGTATAGTCTGACTTCACTGTAAAATCATAACATTTCCTGAGTTGGAAGGGACCTCTGAGGATCATCAAGTCCTGACTCCACACAGGGCAATTTAAGAGGCAAACAATATGTCTAATACCATCATCCAAAATCTGCTGGTACACTGATGGGATTAATTTTGAAAGAATTTTTGTGGAATTTTTAATCATCTGATAAATTTTCTGAGAGCCACGCATAGAAAGAGCATAACATATGTGTAATATAATGTGTGTGTGTGTGTGTGTGTGTATTATTGGTAAAACTGTTTTGGCTTTCATACTCACTGAGAAAGAAAAACCTCAGGACTTTATTGTGATGACAGAGCTTATATGTGCATTTAGCTACTTTTCTTGGAATTTTGACACTACTGAGGTCAATGGTGAAATTTCTTTTGAATTCACCTGTACCAGGATTTGATCACATGGATCTAATTTTTTCCTTTCTTATACTAAGGCCTGCCTGAGTGTCAGAAAATAATATTTTGTCCACCCTGGGTATCAGAAAAGTATTCTCCAATTTCATTCAGTTGGTATAAATTAGCATAGTCCCATTAATGCTAGCAGAGCTTTGAGGTTTTTATAATCTGAGGAATGTAGCTTAAATTATGTGAAAAGAAGCTTGGTGAGAGAATCAAACTTTCTTTTTTATTCAGAAGTGCAGGAGCACTCACCACTTCATGAGAAATAATATAGATTGCTCATCACTTCTGCAAATAAGGCTCATTGCAAATTTTAGATTTGCAAAAATTTGCCAATGTAGTTCTTTACTCACTAGGCCTACGAACTGAATAAAAGTTACCATGAAAGAAATGTCAGCATGACCGAAGTTATAGGAAATGTGCACCTTATGGGGTTTGTGAAGAATACTGTATGTATGTTTTGTCAGAGCTCAAAAGTATCAACCAACAATAAGTGGAAGCCACTATCCTTACATATTTTACATATTTCGCATTGCTATTTTGTATGTACTCAAAGCTAGTTTGTATATTCTAAGTTTTACAGTATTTTTCAATGATTCTTTAAACAAAAATTTGTATTTATTAACATCCTTTGTTCATGAGAATATTAGTTTTCTTATACACATATTTTCTGGAGAATCAAATGCACAATAACATTACATATTGGTGTGCCTTAAATTATATTTTGACATTCAAAACACATGGTGTTTTAGAGTCCTTACTATACCATCTACCCATAAAATAGTAAAAGATAAAATGACAGGTTTAAATGGAAACATACATTAAGCCTAGATAGATGGTGACAAAATATTCATGTTCCAAGAGTAAAATCTTAAAATAATGGATATGTCACCTTCATATGTCACATTCTTTAATCTCTGCTATGGAGTAAAGCAAATTGAAGGGTACATGCAAACTCAAAGAAAGTTCATGTATATAACTTCCAACCTGACATCACAGTCTGTTCTGATTTTGAGTATGCACTGAACATAGTACAACAGAGTAGCAAAACTGTTGATAGAGTCCATGGTTTCCCTGTTCTTCCTGCCCATTTTTGAGAGATTTGAACAAAATATTGGATGGTCTCAGCCATTTTGCAAGGCAGAAGGACATTTCTGGATATTTATAAATATGAATGGATGGCAAGTGGATGGCATGACACTTGAAAATGTGATCATAAAAATTATCTCAAGGTTTCTGTGCCCAATTTATCTATCCACCAAGGAGGACTTAATTTTACATGCACTGAAACTTTGGAAAACTGATGATTTGTGAGATACCTTTGAATCCAATTCTGTGAAAGTAGTGGTGGCAGAAATAGGTAATTGCTTCTTTATCCAGCTGTAGCTGCTCTGACCTCTGAATAGTGATCACTTGCTCAGACTTTTTGGGTAAACATTGTATAAGCTGAAAAATGAACACCCTTTCTTTTAAAATGAATTTGGGGGAAAAGTAAATGGTTTTGTGTGTTTTTTTTGTTTGTTTGTTTGTTTTTTGTTTGTTTTAAATAAGAAACTCAATCAAGTTTGTTTCAGATTTCTATCATTTTGTGAGGAACTAACATTTTTAAGTTTCCTTTGGCATTGTTGAATTTTGCATGCAATTAATAGTGGCCTTGTGATAATAAAAAGCAGATAGTGATATACAGAGTAACTCAATGTGCTATTTTAGGTATGTGTTTACTTGAATAAATTAATGGTACTTATTTAATCACAAGGTCATTGTATAAGTAAGCTTATGATAGCACCAATGTGCTATACTATGGAGTATATGTACAACCTGCACATTTTAGATTCTGATCTTCACCAGCTCTGTTTTCTCTGTTGCTCTCTCTTTGTAATACACTGAGACTATTCAGTACACACAGTACAAATATTAAACAGAAAAGCTAACCATATACATAAAGATACTCCGATTTAGATTTACATTTAAGAATTACCCAACATCCTTCAATTCAGGAATCTGACATCTATTGAATGCAGATGTACAGTGATGGTGGCATGTTGCTTTTATGTTATTGAAGTGACAGAACGCAGTAACTTCAGACTCTTTAGTGATAGAGACACAGACGTTTGCTGGTTGTATCATGGGCAAATTCATTTATCTCAATGTAAATGTCATCACAGTCTTGCATAGATACATTCTGACTGGCAGTAATAAAATTTACGTAATGTGGTGTGTATGTATATATGTGTCCTCTTAAAGATAGATGTTTTCCCTGATCCCTTTTTTATACCAGTTCAAATTTGAAATTTACATTATATACATATACTTTATTGTTCTAAATAAAGATATTATGCACTGCCATGCAATGAGTATGTTCCTCTGCTCATCTGTGTCAGTCCTAAGACTTTCTGAACATCCTGTCGTCTTCTTGCAGAATTTCCTGCCACAATATCTAGATGCTACTAGACGCGAGATCCTTCATAATCATTCATTTCTTAATCATACATTTAGAAGTTTTGTGCCACTAAAACATACATCCCCATTATCAATCTCCAGTTCTAATCCGGTGTGTATCTCTGATTATGCAAATTATTCCAGCTTCAGAATCTCCTCCATTGAGATCTTCAGAACCTGCTAGGTCATTGGCCTGGGCACTTTGCTCCGGCTCTGAATGAGTAGAGTTAGGGTAGATGAATTCAGAGGTCCTTGCCAACTTCAGACATCCTGTGATTCTGTGGTTCTCTGATGGGCTTAAAGAAGACCAAGTTGCAGCAGGCTTGAATTGATGGTGTAGCAGAAGTTCATGATCTGAGAAGTAGTGCCAGTGGCATGTGTGGGTTGAAAGTACAATGCACACTCAGCATAGCTAGAGTTAAACAAGCACTAAGTAGCTGCAGAGTATGGAGATGAGCATAATGTGGAAGACATCATTATTGTACCAAAAAGGAAGGAGGCTTGATCTAGAAGTTATATAAGACAAAATGAATGGCGGGATGTGTCATAATGAGAGCTGTCAAAACAGCTCTCACCAAAGTCAGGTTCATGGTAACTGTAGTTCACACAGATAAGGGGGAATGGTTTTAAACTGAGACAGGGGAGGATTAGGTTAGATACTGGGAGGAAGTTCTTCACACTGAGGGTGATGACACACCGGAACAGGTTGCCCAAAGAAGTTGTGGATGCCTCATCCCTGGAGGCATTCAGGGCCAAGCTGGATGTGGCTCTGGGCAGCCTGGTCTAGTGATTGGTGAACCTGCACATGGCAGGGGAGTTGAAACTCGATGATCATTGTGGTCCTTTTCAACCTGGGCCATTCTATGATTCTGTGATACAGAAAAGAGTGAATTAAATATTGAGAAATTAGACATAACTTCAGCCAAAGAGGCACCAACAAGTTTTGGTACTCTGACATTTTTTTTAATATGAACTACACAATGCTGACTGAAAACTCTCCATCACCACCACCACTTAATCTGAACTCTGGTGAACCTGCATGTGCCAGAAGATTGAAGGAAACAATGAACTTCAGTTTTCCAAGTTCAGTGTCTCCAAAACAATTAATATAATCATTTCGTTTAGTGGATGAAAACAAAAAAAAACTTTGTCCAAGAGATGGCAAGCATTAATAATTTTCTTAATTCTGTCAATCAGAAAAATGCTGTTTATTATGCTCACCTACTGTTTCTTGGTAGCAATACATTTGAACAACTCAGCACTTCTATAAAATTGCACTATTTTACGTCAGCTGTGCTCAGTGACTCTAATGTATTTTTATTACATTTTAACAAACATAGAGTACTGAATGTATTTTTTTGCTTTTGAAAGTTTCTGAATGGCAGTATGTACATTTATTTGCTGATATTAATTTTTCCTTCTGTGTTTTAATGAGTTGGGCTTTTTCAGGATTTCATGCTATATTAATGATTTATGTGTCCAATCCCTTAATGCTTTCATGCAGTCATTACTGTTAAATTGTCTTCCAAAGTTCAAACTTTCTGGAGGGATCAAGTTTCCCAATAACTACACTGAAGTATGTGCTAACACAATCAAGTTTTGTATTGTTATATGCTTATACTGAATTATTATGTGCTGATGTGTAACAGAAAATGATGTAAAATTAAAGCAGATGACCATAATTGTGAAGAATGCACAAATGGAAATTCAGCCCTCTTTTTCTTCCACCGTATTCTGAGAAAAGTTATTTCAACATGTAACAGGAAGAAGCCCTAATGCAATTATACTTCCTTCGACTTGTGGCCCTTTCTACATGATCCCACAATAAGCAAGTGGAAACTAAAATACAGACTGGACTTGTTTTTCAGGCAGACGTGAGCCTTGGGCTTCTGGCCAGTCACAAAATACAGGGACAATTTTCATTCCTTATTGGCAAAGATATTTTCTTGAGCTCATGGTAAAATATTCGACTGAGATCACAAAAACCTCTTTTGTTTGTCATCACTTCTGCTGTGCAGGATAACAGCATGATAGTAAAATTGGCCCAGTTAGAATAAAGAAGCTACAGAGCAGAATGTATAGCTTTTGTCAGTTTAAGTGACTAGCCCAAGTGACAGAACGTCATCTGAGAAATTTCACCTTGTCATCTCCTACATTGTGATTGATGATTATTAGGACCCCAAGGGTTATTTAATCTGTCATGTTCTTAAAGTTAAATATTTTAGGCCTTCCTTTTTCTCAGCAATGCTGTCATCATTAACAAAACATGGAACAGCCTTCACCTTCAGAAATGACAAAGTGGGGATGTGTCTCAAAACCAATTAATAGCATCAGTGAAAGGAGAGACGTAGCATCTAAATCTTTTGAATTGCCTATCCCTAAGAATAATGCAATGAGTTCTTTGGTGCAATTACTCCTTTGCAAGAAGTTGAGAAGAAAGTATCCCATCAATATTGCTGTACTTCCTGGTGTTTTGTTTTTAATTCTTTTGTATTGTTTCAGAAGAATCCAGTTAACTCAGCTTTGTGTTCTCATCTTTTTATTCTAAATATTTCAACCTTTGCATCAAAAAATAGTTGTGCAAATGAATAATGCCAATACAATCTACAACAGGGTACGTATTGCATTTCAAGTAGAATTGCTCATATACCGCAGTACCCATAATGTAGTGTATGCATGTTTGTGGGATGGAGGGGTGTTGGGAGGGAAGGAAGAGAAGGTGCTGAGATTTAGCAAAATTTACAGGTAACTACTGTGAACTTCAGTCATATACCCTGGAGGAAAGCTGCATGTTACAGAATTTCTTCACAAATCCAGTCCTTGGCAAGAGCAAGCCTCAGGATTGCCAAGTCCTATACATTGATCAAAAGGCTCAGTGGGTGCCACACCCTGTGATGGCCTCCACAGCCATCTGCAGCTCAGCACCATCACCTCTCTGTGATTGCATGTGCCAGAACTGCATGTGCCAGAACCACACATACCTACATAACCCTGGGGGCACCTAAAACAAATTTATCATATTTCCATTTAGGCCACCAAGGTGGCAGGTCCATTGAGATTCTAATTCTGTGTTGCATGACTCAA